AGAAAATTGGTAGATCTCAACGACTTCTACAACTTTGTTTTTAACAACCTTTTCATATGAGTTCATTTAATATCATATAATTTGATTCGAAGTTCTTATATTTTTAAATTAATTTTTTAATGACTATTTTCGCATGCGGCCCACTTAAGGAACTGCATGCAAAAATCTATTTACGCATGCGGCTCCTTAGGTGGTCTGCATGCAAAAATATCACCCCAACCTTTTCATCTCCCTCCACTCTCTTTTCCCTCCCACCACTTCAAATATTTTCTAACTATCTCCCCTCTCTCTCCCCTCTATTCTTTTACCCTGCCCTCTCTCTCTTTTTCTCCTATCCTCTCCTCTCTTTCTTTCTTTTCTCCTCTCCCTCTCCCTCTCCGAGAGCGCCGCCGGGCAGCGATGGCATCAACGGGCGGTGGATCCGGCGGTGCCGCCCTCGAGAGGGCCGGATCCCCCCCAGGGAGCGGCTGCGGCTACGGCGACGGCCGGCGCGCAGTGGGGGAGGCGGATCCGGCGAGTGGGCGTGCGGCATCGGCGTCCTAGCTCGGAACTTCCTCGACGGCAACGGATTTGGCGAGCGGGCGGCCTTGGAGACCTCTGGCCTTCCACGACGGCGGCGCGAGCGGTCGGTGGCGGTGCGGGCGGCGACACGGGTGGTGGGCATCCTCCCACCTGGGTCTGGCGGCGGGAGCGGTCGGCGACGTGGTCGGCAGCGGCGCAACTTCCTCCCGCCCGAATCCGGCGGCGGCGGGCCTCGGGCCGCCCGGATCTGGAGGCGGGGGCGGCCGGTGGCGGAACCTAGGCGGGCGGCGGCAGGAGCGGCCGACAACGATGCGGGCAGCGACGTGGTCAGCGGCGGCGGGCCTCGGGCCGCCCGGATCTGGAGGCAGGGGCGGGCGGGCGACGTTGGCCGGTGGCGGAACCGGGGCGGGCGGTCGGCCGGCCAGGGTTTCCTTTTTTTTAATTCTATTTTTTCCGTGATTTTTTCTCTTTGCATGTGGTCGGCTTAAGTGCCCGCATGCGGAGATCCATTTTCGCATGCGGTTGCCCTGGCCGCATGCGAAGATCGTGATCTTTACAGACGATTTCGCGCATGCGGTCGGGCCAACCGCATACGAAAATCCTTTTCGCCCGCATGGAAAGACCACTTCTGTAGTAGTGGAAGTAAAATGTTTTGGAATGTGCGGCGAAATATACGTAAAATGTGCAGCTAAGTAGCTAATTACAAGAAAAACCTGCTCCAAATACAGAATGTTTTGGAATCTTGCAGGTAGCTAATTCCTGAAATCTGCTAATATCAGAGTGACTAAACTGTAATGACAATGATTAAAAAGGAGACAAATCTTTTTTCATGAAAGAATTACAGTTTTTCAAGTTCAGTCAAAACAATAAGGACGCACGCGTATTTGCACATAACTATATTTTAGCACCTAATTTCCCTTAAAAACTAGACCAAATCTTTTCTTAATAAATACAAAACAGGAACTCCCTGTTCTCTTTTGAAGTTTTTTTTAAAAATAAAATCAGCACCAAATTGTTCCATGGTGGTATACTGGTATTTTACTAGGCCTTCACTCCACTAAGACAAATTTGTCAAATAACTTGCAGGAGTTGTTTCTTAAGGTGGTGTTTTGATCCAGCGACTAAACTTTAGTTCCTGTCACATCGAATGTTTTAACACTAATTTGAAGTATTAAACATAGAGTACTTACAAAACTAATTGTATAAATGAGAGCTAATTCGCGAGATAAAATTTTAAGCCTAATTAATCTATAATTAGCATATGTTTACTGTAGCATCATATAGGCTAATCATGGTGGATTAATTAGGCTCAATAGATTCGTCTCGCGAATTAGTCCAAGTTTATAGAATGGGTTTTGTCATTAATCTATATTTAATACTTCTAATTAGTGTCTTAACATCCGATGGGATAGAGACTAGCTTTAGTCCATGAATCTAAACAGACCCTAAGATTCCACAAGAAAGTCAAGGTGTCAGACTGCTCAGCAGAATAGAATCTGAGACTGACATTTGCAGAGCTTTGATTAACGTCACCAAAACTCGTGTTCCAAAGTAATTTTCGGAGTTGTAATTCTGAAGAATCTCAAAGTGTATGACTTCGGTCACTTCTTGAAATCCAAGATTAATCCAAAAATCAAACAACTGGGGAAAAAAAAGGATGCAGAGGAGGTCTCAATTCGACCTCTTCACTATCAGAACTCTCAAATAATTAACTACGAAAGAACAAAACGGAACACCAAAAAAGCTATTTAGGTGGAAGACAGGAAGAGAATGCAAGAAATAAAAAATATACTTGGTTAAATGCCCGATTCTTCCATGAGCTGAAAATATAACTGCAGCACGAGGAAACCAGGAAAAAATCTCCCCCAGAAAAAAAAATCGAGCAAATGAAAAAACACCCAGCAAAAATCGAGTAAATGAATCCCGGATGATTCATCCCACTAGAATGTACGGGCATGCTAGTGGTTCGAGTAAATATTACAACCACCTTAATAGAATAATAAATTACAACAAATTATCAGTATGTACCCATGGAATATAGCATGCCCGTGCCAAAATCTATCTATCTATTATATCCTAAAATCCATGAAACTTCCTATACAAACGCTCTTAAACCGCCACGTGGCGCTCTACAAACTCTCCCAAGTCACCACATGGCATTATCTAATCTCACCGTTGATTTTCACTTAAATTGATGGTCCCGTTAGTTTACACCATTAGATTGATCTATTATTAAAAAATAATAACCTCCTCATGATCTGTACGTATGTGTTTGTATGATACTACTGCTGATCTTTCCATACGTACAAACTTAATGTACATGACCTTTCCTAATCTTGCTGGAACCAAAAAAAAAAAAAACATACACATGGAAAAAAAAGATAGAAAACACATAATTCCATAAAAATCAACAGTTTTTAAAATATGATTTTAGATAAAATATATTACTTCACAAATATAAATATATTTAGTTAAATAAAGATCTATATAAATATCCAATCAATGTTCTTTAAACCATATTCTAAATCTATCTAGTACATTAAACTTTCTACAAATGCTTTTAAACCGCTACGTGGATCTCAAATAAATTTGAGAAATCCTCTACAAACGCTCCTAAACCGCCACGTGGTGCTATACAAATGCTCCTAAACCGTCACATGGCACTCTAATATAGTAGAGAAAATCTTAAAAATTCTGATAGAAAAGAAATACATCTAATCATTATTTTCCTTTGAATAGGTGGACCCTTTAATTTTAACCATTATATCTCTATTAAAAAAATCCGGTGTACAACACCCCGCACCGTATTTGCGCACGTACATAATCCGTACTCCATCCAGCCTCCGTATCTCTTCTCCTCTCCTATTTTCTAACTGACCTTTCATATTTTTCTAGCTAACACTTAATATATAAATAAAAAATATTAATTAGATAGATTATAACTCCCAAGTTACAAAAAAGAAAAAAAAGATAAATATCCGTCCGTCGATTTCAACTAAAGATGATGGATCCACTATTTATGTCAGATAGTTAAATTAGATTTGTAAAATAACAGGCCTATGTTCGGCCTTGGAGCGATCCAGAAATAACGAACTTTTTTTTTTTTGCTCTCTCTAAGTGTACGCACATAAGTTAGTTAAAAAATATAGTGTACGTACATAGAGCAAGAGTATACCGTGGTTAACTACTTAAAAATAACATTCAAATAAATATAACTGTTTAACTGTGTATCTAATTTCCAACTGGTTTGAATATTTATAATATTTGTGATTAAATTAATAAGTTAAGACCTATGTTAACTATATTTTAATTATAGAAGTGATATGCTATGCATCAAGACAGTGATGAATTTTTTTTTCAATAAATACGATATCAAATGTGCTATTCTGTATTAATCTAGAAACATATATGTAGCTAAATTAGATCCATGATAACAATGATAACGATGTTCTACGTATTTTCAATGTGTCTATGACGTGTTTTGAGTCTATTTTTTCAATGTGTCAAATAACCAACTACAGTCATCAAATTTAAAAGACGAAAAATGTTTATATACTACTAAAATTTGATAGTATAATTTAAGTATACAAATTACTTAATAAAAAATGTGTCTCCACTAAATAAAACATGCAATGATACCCTCACGGTTCCAATATATTCTTTTGTTGATCGTCCCTATCTTCTCTGTCTCCCTGACTCTTCTCATTGTCCTCCCTAATAGTCCCCAATTTATCCCATAATAAACTATCATAATATATATGCAATTAAAAAACACCTTACTTTTACTTCTGATGATATGTTTTCTAAAGAAAATAAGTCTACCTTCTTTTCAAATGATGAGGAAGAATATAAAAATATGATAGTACAATATAAAGCTAATAGGTTAGAAAATTATGAAACAATTAATGCCGATGAAAAAAATGTATGGAGAAATCGTGGCAGATGTTCTCCAGTTAACATTTAGATTTTATAACTATTTCAAACTTAGCATACGATGCATGCCCACGCGAATGCGCGGACTACCTTCCTAGTTACAATAAAAATTGTAATTTTTGTTCCTTCCTGTCACCCAACCTCTCTATATATTGGCATGTCTTCGAGGTCACGCCGCAATAAGTTCAATTTTACTCCCGACCTCCAAGTGGTCCTTAATTTGAAGACAGATATACGACTTGTGTGAGTGCGACTTTGTTGTTACAAATTATTGTGATGTGACTTAATGACTTATCAACTATAGCTATCAGTTGAACGGCCCTAGTTTAAACATAACTGAACGAGTATAAGAACGATGCGTTCCTGTTTTTTCAGTATTTTATGGTGAAGAATGTAGCCATCGATGATTGATGATATATACATATATATAACAAGTTTACTTTTGTCCCTTGTCCTAAAACAGGATAGTTGTAAACAAATCACTTGTTGGTTATCACACTTATAGTAATCTTGGATTAGCTAAAGACACCGTCAGTTGTATAAGAAAAGGGACTGTCTAATTCACAGAGAGGCAGCATAGAGAGCGCTAACTAGCTAGCTCAAAGATGAACGCAATACCAGCTGCGCCGGCCACCATGAATCCTAAGCTGCTCATGGCTGCTCGACATGGAGACATCGAGACCCTAAAACGCCTCCTCGCCGTGAACACAGCACAGCCACCGCCACAAGTCGTCCTCCAAGTCGACCGGCCTGCGGCGGCGGCGCCATCTGCAGCTGCGAACACGCTCCTGGAGGGAGTCACCAGCGAAGGGGACTCCGCGCTCCATGTCGTGGCGGCAGCGGCGGTGGCGGCGGCATGCGGAGACGACGACGACGACGTGTTCCTCGACTGCGCCGGGGTGATCCACGGGGCAGCCAGGCACCTCATACGTGCCCGCAACAGCAACGGCGACACGCCCCTCCATCGCGCCTCCAGGGCTGGGAGCGTTAACATGGTCCGCCGCCTCATCGCCATGGCAAAAGACGAGGCCGGCGACGACGACCACGACGACCACGACGACGGCGGCGAACGGCGGAGACAGAGGGCGGCGGTGGAGCTCCTCCTGAGAGCGCAGAACAAGCGCGGTGAGACGGCCTTGCACGAGGCGATCCGCTCGAACAGCAGGGATCTCGTCGTCGACGAGCTCCTCTCCCACGATCCGGAGCTTGCCCGTGTTCCAGGAGAAGAAGGAGGCACCTCGCCGCTGTACCTGGCCATCTCACTGCGACGGTTTGAGGTTGCGAAGAAGCTGCACGAGAGGGACGAACAGCTGTCCTACTCTGGACCTCAAGGCCGAAACGCTTTGCATGTCGCGGTGCTCATTGGCAAAGGTGAGTTTTAGCCGATCCGGATTATAAATTAGTTCCGTAATATCTCCGTCGTTGGTTAATGATTATACTCCTACTTTTCAAGGTGCACATAAGCTAGCTTTTGTTCTAACTAAAAAAATGCCCGTGCGTTACAACGGGTGAAGAGTATTTTAATCTTATTATTGTTGTACGGTTTAGCTAAGGTGAAATTCACCGTAGGAATTCACTTGGATATTCTTTTTATAAAATCATAAGCCGCAATTAGGGGTTCGATCATCTCAAGTTAGCATGCAAGTTTGTTAAAGAGATTTCTTATACGACTCCTTCTATATTTCTAAAAACGAACAAAATTAAAAACCGACTCAAACACGGATCTATATTTCCAAAAGCGATTGAACTTAAAAACCGATTCAAACACGGATGGCGTACCAAAAGTACCGATAAAAACATCTTTAATTTTTACAATAGTAGAGATAAAGGTATTTCCGTCGTTTTATTAAATCGACACATATACCGACTCATGTCAGTCCTAACATGATGTAGGCCCGCCAAAACACGAGATTTTCGAAACTTGGTAAAGACAAATGTAATCATATAAATTAGCACACACTCATACCTATATATGCATACACACACCTGACATTTAAAGACTGAACTAATATATACGACATGTGTCTAGGACTTAAATTTGGGTGAACATGTGTCACCACAAATTAAGGACCTTACCAGATGAGCATACATGTTTCACACCAAACTAGTCTATTATAAGTCGCATATTTGCGCGACTATGACCTCCCTCTTTATTAGAATTGTTAGTTTTTATGTTGTTTAGACCTGTTTATACATTTTCTAAGTAATTAGCTTAAATTTTGTAATTATCCACTAATAATATACTTTGTGAGAAGTGTCACTATCACATTAACAAATTTATCATGATTTGTACTTGAGAAAATTATTATAGTTTCCAATATTTTACCAAACATATTGCGTGATCATTGCTTCCCTCTTGGTTGAATTTTGAAACATGTTATTTGTAATATTATTGTAAATAGACTTGTAATCTGAAATGTGAAACCTATCTTTTAGCTGCACAAGACAATGATTGCATCGGCTAGGGTTAGGGTTTATATTCACCTTCACCATCATTGTTTTATTCTTTATTTGCGCGACCATATCCGCCCTCTTCGCTGCTGCATGAGCTTTGAGCTAAACAAAACAGTGAGTGTGCAATGGTTAAGGTTAGAGTTTCTATTCATCTTCTTCTCCACTGTTTCCCCTTTCTATCTATGTGACTATATATAACGGTCTTCTTTAATGCTGATTTAGTGATAGTCTTACCGTCCTCTCCAATACTCCATCATGCATCCCTTAACCTACTCTTATACTTCCTCCTTCTCAGAATAAGTTTGTTTTTAGTAATCATTGAATTGATGTTTGTGAAAGTACATGATAAATGTATGGAAAGTAGATAAATAGAGTAAAAATTGCATTAAGCTTTGATAAAGTGGAGATGTTATAGTCTTTTGATTTGTATTGGTATGTGTGCGATGGGTAAAAACCAAACTTATTTTGAGATAAAAGAAGTAATATTTTAATATCATTGAGAATTTTGATTTGAAAAGTTTGTTTTTAAATAGTTACGTATGCACCATTAGGGCATGTACAAATGTAGAGTCTGATATGTTCTCTCAATTAATACATATAACTTGTAGACTATATTCCTACAATAGTTGAGACAACAAAAACTCTTAACCATTAATGCACCAAAATATTATTTTACTACCCTTCTTTCCTTTTGTCCATCCCCATGCAACAAAATTTCCATTAATAAATGTTAAGAGTCGACTCTAAGCCATTGTCATGCGTAGCAACTATGTTTCCTTTTCTTTCCCCTCTCTCTTCCACGTCATCAATTTTACTTGCATGGCAACGAAGAGAGTTGTGCATGCCCTTATATTGTCCAGCAAGAGAATTTGACCCGTCTTTATGTATCCTGTCCCCATTCTCTTCTCTTGCTTTGCTTGCTGCGCATCTAGCTATTAGCAGGCTGGGAGGAACAGGCTGTGGCTGAGCATCTAGGACATTGCTGCCTCCATCTCCATCCCTCTCGTGTCCTGTAGTAGCAGGCACAGCTCGAGTTTTGCAGCGGTGGATCTATGCTGGGGAAGAAGAATGAAGCTGGCCGGCTCCAGGCTGCGCCTAGACCCATCCTTGAGCTCCTTGGTCACCTGGATTGGATTTGTGCGAGGAAGATGGAGAAGACACAGACCTTAAGTGCCTAGTGGCAGTGATGGTGATGACAACGGCAGCACGTACGACACGACGATAGGAGCGATCGAGGAGAGGCAGCAAACCCTGATGATCCCGAGCTTCTTTGCCAAATCATAGGCATCGAGGCTCAATTTGGCGGCCCAAATCCTTTTTAGTCCCGGTTTTTAATGAAACCGTGATTATTGTAGATTTGGGTCGACCAACAAAGATAGTTTCTCCAGTAGTGCTGTGACAGTTCTCGAGAGAGCCTAGCGGCGGCAAGGCAGCAAGTCGTCGTCACCTCCTCATCTCGCCATCTCTTCTTTTCTTGCCGCCTTATGTGAGCATCAGTGCATCATGTGAGACCTTCTGTGCGAGTGTTCCGGTCGAAGCATATAGCTCCTGAAGTGTCACAAACTCACCATCAGGAATTTTCCTTTACTCTATCGAACGGCTTTCTTTCTCGCGTTTCATATCGGACGGCTATTATTTTTCTAATTACGTGGCCCAGTGACAGCGTGTTTTGGTATTAACCTTTCAATTAGAGTGATTAGGGACCTTACCGGATGAGCTATGCTCAGTTCACTCCATATTCAAATTTTGTATCAATGCATTCTCCTAGACACACCATAGTATTAGGATTGTTGTTTGGCTCATGTGCATTAAGAATACACATTTTTTCATATGAAATTTTTTGGGAAAAAAGTTCTTCGGTGAAAGTTGTTTTTGGACAAAAAAATTTTTTTTGATATAAGTTCTTCGGATGAATGTTTCTAGATGGAATTTTTTTTTTATAAAAAAATGTGCTTTAGAAACGTATTTGTGCTAAATAACAACATCACTAATTCACCATTGTACTCGTGGTGGAGCTGGTACCAAGGCATCGTGTCGGCTGCGAGGCTGCTCAAGCTCGTTGGTGCACTGCGGGTGGAGAGGAAGAGAACGATCCCCTCTAAACAGTTCAACACAGCGCGAGGGGCATTTTCGTTCATTCACAATGCAAGACAGGAAAAAAAACACCTAAAGAGGAGAAAAATGCATTATAGAGTGTTGCGTAAATTTCAAAAGTAGCATTTTACCAAATCTCACGTACGGGATGTCATTCTGGTAAAACCTTTTTCCTACGGCCAACATTACACTTTCTGCCATCTATGGCAAGAGTATGGTGGTGTTTTGTGCTGTAGATGAAGATTAAAACAAGATAGTATTAACGTAAGATTAATTAAGTTTTAATTATTATAAACTTGAAAAATAGATTTATATGATATATTACAACAACTTTCATATATAAAGTTTTCGCACGAAACATACTATTTAATTAGCGGTTTGAAAAGCATGCCACGAATATCCAAATTTTCATCTAACTTTTGTTGGAGAAAAAAAAAACGAGGCCTATGTCTGTTTGGACAATCTTGCATCCTATGACCTCAGTTCTTGTATCGAAAACACTGGACATCTTTGCCTACTGCATTTTCCTCCTTAATTCCCAGGCTTACTACTTTTTATTGACGTAAAACAGTTGAAGAGGCTCCTACTACATTAATATTAATGAAAGGATAAAATACAAAATGGAAAAGGGGGGAATGCACAGGAATATGTAGAGGGGAGGAGCAGCAGAGAAAAAAGGAAAATAAAAATTGGATTAAAAAAGTGAGCTAATCCATAATTGCTAGAGTGGTTTATCAGATATCTTTGCTCTATGCATATGAAGATCAAAATCCCCCTTGAAGCCATTTTTCCAGGATAGAAAGGAAACTGGAGCAATGTTGAACATAAGATTATTTCTTCTCGTCCAAATATTGCGCATGCAAGTCCTATAACCTCAACGAGAAAAGGTTGCGCGAAGTCTCGACACACCGTAAGAATCATGTGCATAAATTCAAGGTTGAAATCCCAGTGGATTCCCAAAAATTGCCAGCATTGCTGGGCAAACAAGCAGGTGAAAAACAGATGAAGGGCATCTTCTGGACTTGCTTGGTTGCACATTACACAGTTTGTTCCACTCTGGAGTTTTACTTGTCTTCGTTGCAACATTTATCTCGTATTTAGTCTATTCATCAAAAGCAGTTAGGAAGACTACTGTGCATTTACTCTTCCAGATCATTTTGATAGCAAGTGATCGCTGTAGATGTGAGAAAAACAGGGAATACATTTGCTTGGATTGAAAGAGATGAGATCCCCACTTATAATTCCATATATCATTCCCATTGTTGTCATTTACAGAGTCAAGTTTGACCAGCAGAGCATGGAGCTGTTGAAAATTAAGCAAGGGGAGTTAGTGGCAAGGCAAAATTCTGGTTAAATTCCTGTTGTTGAAAAGCTTGCAAGGCGATGTATTCATTGGATGCAAATGAAAAGAGAGATGATAGAGATTCCTGAAGGATGTCATCTCCCCAGCGATCTTTCCAAAAGAGAAAACTACCCCCTTTGTTGGGAAGGGTTTAGGAGATAGTTTTATATATTGTGTTCAATCTAAAGATGTCCTTCCACTATAAGGATCCCATTTCTCGTACAACAGGGAGGGGGGGTGTTCGCCACTATAATAATACTTATAATAATACTTGTTCCAAATCAGTCTCAACTAAGGAAAGGTCCTTCTTATTGTAAAATTTGTCATGATACTTTATTAAAAGAGCAATATTTTGGTATTCCAAATTGATGATGCCTAAACATCCTTTGTTTTTGGGTTTGCATATCATGTCCCATGCTACTAAGGACTGAGGTCTCATATTTAAGTTAGAAGATTTCCTTCATAAACTATGTCTCCTGCCTCTATTGATATGTTCAATAACCTTTTCGGGTAGCTTAAGTGAGCATATATAGTATGTTGGCATAGAGGAGTGTACAGAGTTAACCAAGGTTAACCTCTGACCATGGTTTAAGAACATTGTAATTAACGACAGGGTAGTCTTCTTTCCACTTGATCAATAAGAGGGGCAAACTCAACAATTCTAGGTTTACTTGTTCCCACTGGAAGTCCCAAGTAAGTGAAAGACATAGAATCAGTTTTACAGCCAAAAGTTCCAGCTAAAATTTTCTTATCTCCCTTAGGAACATTGATGTGTATCATGCAAGATTTGTGATAGTTTATTTTAAGACATGTTGATTGGGCAAAAGATCGTAAGATCCCTTTCGGACAGAAGATCTCCTTTTGGCTTGCCTGGTGGGGTTCACCACTATGATAATACTTGTTCCAGATCAGTCTCAACTAAGGAAAGGTCCTTCTTATCGTAAAATTTGTCACAATGCTTCATTAGAAGAGCAATATTTTGGTATTCCAAATTGATGATGCCTAAACCTCCTTTGTTTTTGGGTTTGCATACCATGTCCCATGCTGCTAAGGACTGAGGTCCCACATTTAAATTAGAAGATTACCTTCATAAATTATGTCTCACGCCTCTATCGATATGTTCAATAACCTTTTCGGGTAGCTTAAGTGAGCACATATAGTTTGTTGGCATAGAGGAGAGTACATAGCTAACCAAGCTTAACCTCTGACCATGGTTTAAGAACATTGTAATTAACGCAAGGTAGTTTTCTTTCCACTCGATCAATAAGAGGGGCAAACTCAGCAATTCTAGGTTTGGTTGTTCCCACTGGGAGTCCCAGGTAAGTGAAAGGCATAGAACCAGTTTTACAGCCAAATGTTCCTGCTAAAATTTCCTTATCTTCCTTAGGAACATTGATGGGTATCATGTAAGATTTGTGATAGTTTATTTTAAGACCTGTTGATTGGGCAAAAGATTGTAAGATCCCTTTCTGACAAAAGATTTCCTTTTGGATTGTCTTTTTCATCTACATATTGAATCACTGGAAATTTACCATCTGGTTTTGTTATCGGCATAGTGAAAATTCCTTTATGTGCCTTCTTGATCATTGATTGAAGGAGGTCAGCAGCTAGCACAAACATAAGTGGTGAGATAGGGTCCCCCTGCTTAACCCCCCTTTGGCGTTGTCATTGTCGGAGTTCTCTCGATGATGATGATGACTAGCCATCACCCTAAACTCTGGTACCATATGACACGGATCAACTGAATGGAGTGGGATAGCGGGTGGATTGGATAGAACTAGAATCTCTCAAAGATCACTCAACAAGATCAACTAGCACCAAAGGTTACTCTTTGGATTTCTCAACTAGGATAATTCAATAACAATCATATTTGGTTTCATTTGTGTACAAACAATTAAATATTTTCAACAAAATCTTATAGGATTATATATATGTTAATTGTTGAAAATTTGATGTTTTATTATACGTGAAAGCGAATATTTTGATCCATGGTTAACTGCAACATTAGATTGTTCTTTTTTTTTTTCCATCCAATCGGTCGCCCTGATTGGAGCCCTAAACTCTCTACATGTTTTAGTTTGTCAAATTTTGGTTATCAACAGTTATAAAAAAATTCCAATTAAGTTTCAGGTTTATATTTAGGGCTGAATGAAAATTCCAAATTAATTTCAGGTCCGACAGAAATGATACTCGGATGGAACAGTGGCCTCGCCAAACAAGGGGACGAAAAGGGGAGGACTCCACTCCATTTCGCCGCATCCACCAATCGTTTATCGATGCGGGCTATGGTTAAGCTCCTACTGGAGCACGACAGATCCTGTGTGTATCAGCCTGACGACGAGGGATCATACCCGATACATGTGGCTGCTGCATTGGGCGGTGTAGCCGGATTATTTGCCGTGAGGTTGATGATCGAATTCTGCCCCGATTCCGCGGGTTTGCGAGACGGCACGGGCCGGAGTTTCCTCCATGTGGCCGTCGACAACCTGTGTCCGTCAGTGGTCGCGTTGGCTCGTTTCTCACCTGGGTTACGATCCGCCGTCATGAACATGCAGGATGGAAACGGCAACACCGCGCTGCATCAGGCCGTCCATGTTTGTGACATAATGATCTTCTTCTTCCTACTGATTGACAGGCGGGTGCTGCTAGATGTGAAAAATAACATGGGGTATACTCCGGTTGATCTTGCACGCTTTAAGAACCATCTGAAAGGTCTGAATTATCCCGTGGTACGTACGTACTGTACTGTAGTATATGTGTCTACTCCTGTTTATTACAAGTCGTTTTGACTTTGGTTAAAGTTAAATTACTTCAAGTTTAATCAAGTTTGTATATAGATATAGTAATATTTACAATATCAAGTTAGTTTCATTAAATCTATAATTGAATATGCATTCATAAGATATTTGTGTTGGGTTGAAAATGTCACTTTTTTTTTCTATAAACATAGTCAAACTTGAAGCAATTTAATTCTGAAACGGAGAGAGTAGATAGTTACACCAATTAACAAGACAGATTGTACGTTGCTGCAGAATCCACAGTGTATGATGTCTTCGTCCCTGACCCATACGGCCGGCAACCATCCATCGGGTGACAACCCAACCGACAGCTTAAACGAAAAGCGAGTTGAGAAGGAGGAGAGGGGGGAGCTTTCCACGATATACAAAGACGCAGCTCAGAACCTGACCATCGGCGCGGTGCTCATCGTCACCGTGACCTTCGCCGCAACGTTCACGATGCCCGGAGGCTACGTATCCTCCTCCGACGACGACGGCGAACGCCGCGGAACGCCGACCTTGGCCGGCACCTGCGCCTTCGACGCGTTCGTCGTCGCCAACACGCTCGCCTTCATGCTCTCCGGGATGGCCACCTTCAGCCTGATGTACGCCGGCTACACGCCGCTCGACTTCGCCTTCCGCGAGCGCTGCGTGAAGCTCTCCATGGGCCTCCTGCACAGCAGCGTCAGGTCCGTGGGCGCCGCCTTCCTGACGGCGACGTACGTGATGCTGGCACGGGTCGCCCCTAAGCTCGTCATCGCTGTCTACGCCGCCGCTGCCGTTGGTCTGGTCTACATAAATTTCGAGGTTTGGATGCTTGGCTGGATGACGCTCGCGCTGCTGTCTAGAGGGGACATTTTGGCGGCGCTAATCGTCGGCCTGCAAACCGTCGCGGTGGCGTTTTGGTTTTCTTGGCCCTTTGCAGTAATCTTCGTTTTGCCACTGATTCTTAAGGGCCACTGATGCTAAAGGGCCACACTGAACAAAAGCGTACTACCTCTATCCCTGATAGAGTGGTCCAATATAAAATGACACTGTAAGTATCTGCATGCTGCCGGTGAAGAAAAAAACAATGTCTTTGTTGGAGTGATTAATCTGAATATTTGCTTTTCTTCTGATCCTTTACTTAATTCTGTAACAGTGCCCGGCCGGTATACATTGGCTTCCTAGAATAGAAAGAAATGCATTCACATCTGAATTTCTACTCTATCTATTATCTTCCAATTATCTATCTATCTATTATATACTAAAAATCCATTAAACTTCCTACAATCGCTCCTAAATCGCCACGTGGTATTTAAAATATCTAGCCATTGATTTTCATTTAATTTGGTGAACCCATATTTTTAACCGTTACATCTAAAAATACTAAATATATTTAATTCATCTTTAGAATTCAGAAAGCCACACATCCATGTCGATCACTCGCGTACGTGTACGTTCATGTACGTACGTACATCGTTAGTGTACGTCCTTCCCCTTCCTTCCTTTCTTTTTATTTTTTCTTTTTCTTTTTCACTCTCTTGAGATAAAAACCAAATAAATAATTTCAGCCAAATAAATTAAATAGGGAGTAGCTAATCTTATAAGCACTTTACAACATTGTCTTAAATTTATTACTTAGGTATTAAAAACTTAATATGTAGAATGCAATATACTCTGCCAATCCTAGCCTAAAATATCAATTGTACATTCTCAATTATCCCAATATATGTAAGTTTTATACATAAGTCACTATTTACTAATCACCAAGTCATATTACTTAAGAGGTATTCGTACACAACACACCTAACGGCCGGTTAGCTGATATCTAATGAGTATGTATGTAATCAAACACCAAAGATAAAGGGCAATTCTAAGTATGCAACTATCAACAAATTATAGGTAAGTAGAGAATGCAACTAATCCACCGCAAACAATAGTTGACTACAGGTAGATTGTGACTATGAGTAATAGCATTTCTATACTCCTACAAATGCTTCTAAGATGCCATGTGATGCTCTAATTAGAAAGAATGTAAAATAAAACAAAAATAATATTTATCGATTTACACACAAAATCGGTGATCTATTATTTTTCAACCATTAAATTAGATCTATGATAATAATCCCTCTGTCTAAAAACCATCTAATCACTCCTTACGTACATACACAACTCCTATGTACATACCTACGCAAGATATATAAAAAGGAAAAAAAAGAAGAGTGTGTATATGACTTGTCCCATATGGTTGTTTTCTCTTTCTTTCTAGATCTAAGGTTTTTTTTTTCTAAATTGAGCATATACGTAGTGATCACTCCTTGCCACGGCGCCGTCTCATGCCACCCGTTGCTCCACCCTCTTCCAGTCAAATTTTTAAAAATACTTTTTTTTACTAACAATTTAAAAGGCAATCGCAAGAGCTCATATAAATGCGTGCAGACGCACATTATGAATACAAATACGCACACTCTATTCCTATGATAAACAAATATTTGTCCAAAAAGAAAAATAAAGAAAAAACAAACGTCCATACGTGAGACTACTATTCGCTAGAAGAAAAACATACATGTAACAACATTGTATCTCTTTTTTATGTCGTCCCAGCAAAATAGTATTAACATTTAGCACAAATAATTTTAATAAATTTATCCAATATTAATCCCCACAAACATGAATTGATGAATTAAAAGTATAATACAAGAAAAAAAATAAAACCTATATTAACTTGTATGTTAGAAAAGGATCAAAGTTTGAGCATTTTTTTTACGTGGTCCACACCACCGAAGCTATTATATTTTTCGAAGTAGAGTCCAATGATCAACCCTGCTAATTTTTAAAAGATAAAATTATATATATACCACTAAAATTTAGTAGTATCGATTAACACCATAAACAAATTATGTATACCCTATATAATAAATCAACTCAAGACATAAAAAAAAACTATTTTCATCACCTCCATTTTCTCTCACTCATACCCTGAAGGGTGCCAAGCATGGATCTCAACTGGCTACATTATAGTAACTATGGCAAGAGTATGCATTATTGAGCTAAAGTCGTCTTACCCAAACTGATCTACCTTATTTTAAACTGTTAGATCTATGTATTAAAAAACCTACCGATCGATCAAGCCGTCAGAGTGCGTATGTACAACACATGTATCCAGTTCCCTCCTCACGGACGAAATGAACCCACTGGCTCTCGCCTCTTTGTTTTCCTTACAACAATTAAGTTAACCACTGAATAAAAGAAGATCCTAAAAATTACCCCCAAAAAATATCCACATTATTTTTTTAATAAAACTGGTTGGCTAATTACTTCATACCATTTAACATCTAAAGACTTTCAACCAACTTAATTATATTTCTCAACTTTTATACCATTTCTATTTACCTATACAAATATTTAAAGCTAAATCAATCTACAAAGGTACAAATTAATCCGTCTATAAATGAGAAACTCTTTTTTATTACTATATATCTCCGTCTTATAATGGATCCTAAAATTTTATACCCCCTCTATCCCAAAATATAACAACTTTTAGCACTTACGATTTGTCCCAAATATAACAACATTACCACCAACATTCCCTTCCCAACTAATCACATTTCTCCACCTTTCACTTTTCTCACCTACCTCCACTTCTCCACCCAACATAACATCTTCCTATTTAATTCTACCTACTTTCTTAATAATTGTGTCCAACTCTAAAACTTCTTATATTCTGGGACGGAGGGAGTAGAAATCAAGGAGGAATGAAAAAAAAATACCAAGATACCCATCATTAAATAAGGCTCATTAAATAAGGGGTATGTAGAGAGTTAGAAGATGGTTAGTGTAATGTTGGATAAAAATTAAATGAAGAATGGCTGGATGGAACGAGTAGTATTAATAATTCCTTATATTTTAGGATATAAAATTTAAATCCTTCGATTTATGGATAGAGGTAGTAGAAGTAAATAGAAGTATATGAGTATTTGTTTAATTAGATAAAGATGTCATATTATCATATTTTTAATAGAAAATTTCTTATATTAATATATCGTAAAATCTACACAGACATATTTAGTATACAAGAAAAAATTAAAGTTTAAATTAAGATGCTAAATATTTTTAAAATAAAAACATGTAGTATTTTTAAAATAAAAACATGTAGTATTTTTAAAATAAAAACATGTAGTATTTTTAAAATGATATTTTTCTCATAAATTTAAGACGACATGATGCAAGTAATTTTAGTGTACAATTTGTAACAACCCGTCCTTCAGAACAAGGCAACCCAACCTCCATCCAATTGGCACGCTTACTTATAAATATCACCTCACTTACACTTTTATAACAAAAAATGATATGGTTGGAGGGACAATGCATTACAGGTTGGCTACACTCTTGCTTAAATAGCAAGATAGTACTACTACTCATGTGCACACAATGCTTATGGACAACACATGTCAAATCCTTCAAATAAAAAAATATAGACCACATCTTAATTGCACTAGGATGTCTAAGACACCCCCTCAAAGGATCCAACATTCCCGTCGGTCCAACTTACCTCCATAGTCACATATGCATATAGACAAATATCCATAAACATGTCCCCTCTTAACGTACGTCCGTATGTCCAGTGATCGAAACAAATTTCCACAACAATCCAAAAAAAATATTGATAAACACAGATTTAGAAGAGTAAAAAAATATTTTTTTTTGAAAAATATCCTATACATAAATATTCATCACAAAATTTCAAACACCATTAAATAAGGTGCCCGCGCATTTGCGCGGGGTACCTTCCTAGTTATATACTAAAAGTCCATTATATTATACTTCCTATAAACACTGGGATTTCTAAAACGCTCCTATGTCCCCACGTGGCATTCTAATATATTAAAAACATCTAGCCCTCAATTTTTATTTAAATTAGTATAGGTACATTATTTTAAACCATTAGATTAGATCACATTCTAATAAATCGATGGACCCACTATTTTAACTGTTAGATTTATTATACGATCCTCCACTTCTGCTAGTGGCCCCAAGAGAAAAAGGCAGATAAAAAATGCAATAAAACGTATGTACGTACATACATAGAAGAAATATTCATAAGGAAAACAAAGAAAAAAAAGCATATGTACGTACATACCCAGAAGAAAAAAAATGCAATAAACAAGCATGCTATCGACACGACTGTCAACGAGCCGAGCTCGAGCGAGCTTGTTTGTCTGAGCTCGAGCTCGGTATAGACTCGAGTCAAGCTCGAGCCGAGCCTCGTCAAGTCTCAAGTTTTCAGTCAGGCTCGTGCTCGGCTCGTTCGAGCTTTGAGCTTTTTCTCGAGCTTGGGGTTAGGGCTGTCAACGAGCTGAGCTCGAGCGAGCTTCCATGTGTAGGCTCAAGCTCTCTATAGACTCGAGTCGAGCTCGAGCCGAGCCTAGGTTTGCCACGAGCTTGAAGTTGAGCTCGAGCTCGGCTCGTTCGAGCTTCGAGCTTCTCTCAAGCCTGCTTCGTGCGGTGGAATACTGGAACAATTCATCCCATTCAAAGAAAAAGCTGACACTGTGATGCATGATTAGATGGCTAAAAGTAATATACTAGTGCTCCTATGTATACTAGTGCAACTGTGCAAGCCGCACACTAGTACTCCTACTACTACACACTAGTACTCCTACTCTCTTGTTGGGAAATGGGACAACAAATGCATAGTGCTCCCTCCTGCCCTGCCAGTACATGTGCAATTGTGCTACTCCAGTAATTTGAACGAGTAAGAGAGAGAGAGGGGGAGGAAATGCCTAGGAGAAAGAACATGAGCCAGACGTTGAGGCTCGCCGAGTTATTCGAGCTCGGCTCGACAGGCTCGCGAGCTTAAAGTCAAGCTTGAGCTCGGTTTGATTCTTAGACGAGCCGAGCTAGAATCGAGCTCATAACGAATCAAGCTCGAGTAGCTCACGGACCTCGAGCATTTTTGATAGGCCTACTTGGGGTATGTACACTCACAGGACAGCATGTAAGCTTGTAGGAGTACTACTAGCACCGGACAGATAACATGTGAGAGCTTGTACTACTAGCACAGATAGAGATGCACACGAATCTAGCCATGCAACTTTTTATTGGGGAGTGTGCTAGTGCTAGTAGGTGTACTAGGCTAGTATGAATA